TTCAGGAGTTTATAAAAATTAGCAAAAAAACTCATGAATAGGAGTAACGAGTGTATAAAACAAAGTAAAAGTATTTCTGGCTGTTGGATAGATTTAAGGAGAGGGAGAGAGAGGGGGCGTAGGAAGAGCCACTTAGCAACCATTCAGTGACCTACTTTTTATTAAGAATGCCGGCGAGACATTTGGGAATGTACCAAGTCCCCTTTCCGACTCTGGAAATTAGCATGTATACTATGGTCCCCGGACAAAATGCTTTCCTCTAGGTCTTCCTGCCAATATGATCAAGTTGCGAAATCCAGTTTTTCTTCATATATACATTATTGTTCTTTTGTTCTGATTGCCTGAGATGCTTCTAGGAGCCTCTACTGCTTCCTTGGTTCTTATCACCATGTATTCCTCCGGTATGGCACCCTTTTCCCTGTATGTATCCAGATCTTAGCTGGCATCTTCAGGGAAGTGAGCCATGGAAATCATCAAGATATAATTAATATATATATATGATCTCTTGGTGCTCTCTCTATTGGTGCCTACTTATAACAAAAAATAAGTAGTGTAGTCGATTAATATAGCAAATTCATCTTTGTCTGGCTCTCCTTGAAATTCACATCTGCCGTGTGATCTACGAGCACTCTGGTCAGTGCGGCGTAGTGGTTAAGGTGTAACGATAATACGCTGCAGGAATACATTTTTTTTTACTAAACTAAAAGAAAGTTTAGAACGGCCAGTCAACCGTTTTTCTGATAATTATCTGCGTAAATGCGGATTGAAGATTTCTAATGAATGTAGAATATTTTTTTGACATTTATCGCTTAAAAGGAATTTTTAATATGGCCTAACTCTTGGTAAGTAAAGCCACCTGTTCAAGAACTGTGGTCAGATGCAGCTCCATGGCAACGGGCGAACCTGTAGCCGAAAAAACGCCGCCAGTCTCCATTGCAGCCCCATTAACAGTCCGTGACACAAGAGCAGATGGAAATCGAAACTCATAAGTGTGATTCACTTCAGGCCAATATTGGTGACACTTCACCTGTATAGAAGAAAACAGGAAAGCAAAGACGATAAGATGACAATAAGATTGTGAGAAGGCAATAATCAAGATACACAATAAAGTATGTTGGAAGAAGTTACTATATAGCTTTGGTGATTAAAAGCCTGACAAAATTGGTTTTAACTTGTTTCCATAACTTAATTCTATTTACAGGGAGACCTAGAGGAATGTATCTTGTCCTGAGTCCATAGTATGCATGATACTTTCTAGAGTAAGACTATGGACTTGGTAAATTCCCAGACGTTTCGCCGGCATCATAATCGGAATAGTCGATGAGCCTTGGAAGTCTTAGCACCACAAGCTGTGAAAACAGGGTGAAACAACTTCTTTACGACGAAGGAAGGCCGCGTCCATACTTAAGTCCACAGCATCTTGGTCTTCATATTTTCGAAAAAACCTCATAGTTTATCTAGCCCCAATAGAAAAGCGACTGAATTTCATTTTTATAATAGACAGGATTATGGTTTCGACTTTGCCCTGGCCTTACGGTCTCCGCTGCAGGCCTTGCAAATTGAGCCGCAACACCTTAAAACTCGGCCCCATAGCGAAATGATTACTAGGTCACCGGACAAATATTCCACTCGAGGGACGTTAGGCAAATTCAGATTGGTATTTTAGGGTTTCGGAAGGGGTTGTGAAAACCTTTTGTTAGGTAAAGCAAGGTGGACTTTAATGAAGCTGTTTGATAGTAAGCTGCTCAAATACACGACTTTTCATCAGCGTGAGGTGACCATCAATCATGCAAAATTTATTATTTTGGCTAATCCATTGGCATATCTATAAATGACAATAGGATGCATTTATTTTGGCTTGTGCCAAAGGTGACGACCTACTTTTTCAAACTTGACTTGTTCCTATCAACCATGACTAAACATCTTTGTAGAAGGACACATAGAACCTTAAAGCTACGGACATTGGAGCCAAGTAGTGACACGTTTCTACCCTATGCATACGCAGACAACCCAGTTTCAATCTTCTTAGAACTCAAGGCTCTAGTGCAGTCTGCCATGAAAGATAAATCTCATACGGTAATGGATACATTGGAACTGAAGAGCAAAGCGTCTAAGAATTTCCATTCGGTAGAAGATTCGGTTCCTCCATAACTCCAATTTTATCGATTCATTGCTTTGTAACTAGAAATTTAACACAGCTGCTTTAACATTAGAGGATTAAAGTTGGCATTATCCTGATTAAAAGTTTGCTCAGGGAA